GATTTTGTAGCAGCTCGATTAGCGTGATGAGCACAGTTTGGGAAGGAAAGCTGGTCCTGCAGTAAAGACACTGATGTTAAATCGGAGAGAGAGATTTAGTTTTGCACTCGACTGTTCACTTTTGGCAAGACTTCGTAAAGTCCTTCAAATTGTGTTCTCGATCAGCAAAATGAAGATGATTTCATCTTCACTTTACATTGTTCCATCTTAAGTTTGGGAGTCCAGACAAGCTGTAGGACAACAGGGCCCTTGGGGCTGTAAGCACAACAGTAATGCAAACAGGTTTCTCTCTGCTGGTATATTATGATGACAGATAAAAAGCAGTTGGTGTCTGTGGTAATTCCGGATTATATAAATGCCAAAGTTTTCAGCAACACCAGGACATTTTTATTATAAAGTTAGTAGGGAGCAACAAGTTATCATGTTTACTACTGTGAAAAGTGTTCTCTTTCTTTCTATGCCTCCCTATTTCTTTGTTTCATAGTCCTCTGTTGCTGAGGAAGTATTATCTTCCACTCCTACAGTGAGTAATTTTCCTTATGTAGTTTTTGCTTTGTAGTATTTTGTCACAATTTTCCAAATTTCTCTCCTGTTTTCATCCTCTCTCTGCAAAGAACACTTTCCCCATAAAAAAAAAAAACCAAACCCTGAACTCATACTGGGAATTATGGAGCTTTCATCTGCTGACACTGGGAAAAGTGAGCTCCTCAAGAAATACTTCCTTAATTACTTCTTCCTTGTATTACTATTCATTGTTTGTGAATATTAGCATCTTCCAGGAGGAAGGAGAGGACTCTGTGTAGCAGACACTGCTACACCTAGTGGGAAAAGGGTAAAATGAGAGTCTGGCTGGGACCTTCTTCCCACTTCCCACCCTGCGGGGCCCTGGGGTCATACAATCTCTGCAAGGATGCAGGTTGAGGCCGAGTGATAGAGAGGAACCAGCCAAAGACTCACACAACAGAGGGCAGATGGAGCAAAGAGTCAGGAATATTGTCAGGGATATCTGTAGCATTTCCAACAGCCACAACTGGATTTCTTCTGCCCTGTGATGGGTGCGCACAGAAACCTCTCCTCTCTCTCTTACTGTGTCCTGGTACTTGTGCATTTCACACCCAATCTCTTTTCATCTCTTCCTTCTCCTTGCTCCCCACTACCAGCCATAAGACTTATCGACAAGCCTCCCCATGACTCCTCTTCTACACAGAGTTTACACGCCTTTTATCTGGTCCTTCTGCGTGCTTTACTCTTCCTGCATCCTCTGTCTTCTCCTGTTAAGAGTCTGTATTTTATCTACAGGGACTACCTGCACCTCTGTGCACAGTCAGATTCCGACACTGGCTGGGTTTTCATCTCAACCAGATTAAACACAGTGAGTGACACGAAGCAGAGTAAGGGAGGGCAGGGCAGCCAGAGCATGGGGGTTTGTGCTCACGACGAGGAAAGCAGGAGGCAGGCAGCCCAGGGATGTGGGATGTGGGATGCAGGCTGCAGGAGGAACGATCCGGAGGCTACTGGGCTGCCTGCCCCACCACGTCACGCTGACTATGGCAGCGCAAGGCAATAAATGACGGCAGAGCCGAGGGCCAGTAATTCACCCACAGGACTAATCTCCTGATGTCCATCACTCTCCTTGTAGGGATCATCCTCACAGCAAAAGAGGTAGCGAATGTGTCAGCTCTGGAGTTAGTCAGTGCTTCCCGAAGCATCGTAGGAACAAACTTTACAGCATTCAGTGGCACAGCAATTCACTCGTTGCTCTAAATGCAGATCCCTCACAAGCTACCACAAATACAACCACTGGGATGAGTTTTAAAATGTCTACTTCTCCTCTTGAGGGTTCACTTACAAAGTTGGCTGATATTTCTACGTAAACACAGAGCCTGATTCTCTTCTCACATTCACATACACAAGAGCTATGTCTTTGGCTTGAAGGGATGTACTTCTGACAATCCAGACATTCACTGGAACATCCTTAATCTGAGTCAGATAGCTGATGTAAAGGCTAACAGGTGGCAAAAAGTGCAATTTTCATACAATAATACTACCAGATTTTGTGGTAGTTCTGAAGAATAAAGACCTGGCTGTATCTCTGTTACCAGACGAGTCTGTGCCATGGAAGTGCTGCAGCATTAGGAAAGGATCTAGCATTAGAAAAAGATCTGAGGAGGTATCAATTGAGGTGTCTTCCTCCTCCAGGGGTGGTAATTATGCATTAATGCCCTAACGAAATTTCAATCGACATACTGTGTACTGTTTCCATTCCTTGTGCCCAGGAATGATGAACTCCAAGTATAGCAAATGCAGAGCAGAACATTTCCATGAAACACCCCATCTCGAGACAGAAAGCTGAAGAGCACAGCCTGCTCACGTCAGCAAAATGAGGACTGGGGAGAATAATCCCACCCCAGAAACACACCAGGAAGGGGGAAAACGCTCTTTAAACTGAAAGACGATGCTGAAAGAGGATAAATATAAACCAGCTAGAAATAATTTGGGGTTGGAAATAGAAGGTGGCTTCTGACAGTGAGAGAAACGTGGTTTAGCACGGCTGGGGCAGAGCCGTTTACAAACAAGAGGTGGCAGGGACCAGCGTCACCACTCTACACCAGTTCCCCAGGATGTCACACAGAGCAGACCCAGTGAGCTGCCCCAGCTGCTGGGGTGGAGAACCTTGCAGAGGTGCTTGGGGTTCCGCCTCTGTCCGGCTCCTTCCTATTTGTGGTTTTTCGCTCACCAAAACTGCGAAAATAAGGCAAATCTATCCACGCTTGTGAAGCTCCAGGATTTTCAAATGAAAAACCTTGTTTTCTCACTCCCTCCGGTAAAACCTGCTTCCCCTAAACCCAGCCTTTCACACCCGAGGCCCGGGAGGGAGGGATGGAGGGATGGAGGGATGGAGGGATGGAGGGATGGAGGGAGGAGAAGGCATGCACAGCCCCGACACCTTCACCACCAGCTGCTGGGGGTTCCGGCAGGTGACAAGACACAGAAAGCGACCAAAACCAACCCAAACCCCATCCCACCCCAAACCAAACCCCCTCCGAACCCAGCCCCGCTCCGCCGCAAGGCTCTGCAGGGAAGCTGCTCCCGCCACCTCAGGGAGAGGGGCTACCGTCGAGGGGCTACACTGCCAGCCCTGGGGCGCTTCATCTCCCCTCCATCTCCTCTTCGCCCCCCTCTTTCCCCCCCCCCCCCCCCCCCCCCCCCCCCCCCCCCCCTCCCCGCCGCCGACTACCGGCCCTTCTGCCGCCGGGGCGAGCCGCGGCCTACACGAAA